TCTCGGAGGAGAGGAGGCGCGGGGCGGTGGACGCGAGCCCCGGGGGCGACCATGGCGGTGGCGGCGCCCCTGGCTGCCGGCCGCGCGGATGGGTTGGGGGCGGGCACCGCGCGGGTCCACCCGCCCTCCGCTTATCGCCGTGCGAGCGCACTGGGATCCTCGCCCCGCCGGGCTTTCCGAAGCTTTACGTGGGCTGTGGTCTTCGGTCGCGGCCCCCGAGGGCAGCTCCGCCACTGCCCTCGGCCATGCCAGTCGGGGACGCTGTGCCTCTGGATGGGGTGGGGAGGCAGCGGCCTGCAGCGCGCAGGACCCCGGCTCACGCTGCTCCATCCCAGACTGGCGGTGGGGACCCACGGTAAGGTTCCCACCTGCCGGGACAGGGGAGGGGGCCAGGACGGAGACTTGCCTTCGCCCTCATGGATTATGCTCCGTTGGAGGTGGACAGCCCTAGGGGGCGCCACGAGGCTTCCTTGAGTGAAAACATTTTTCGCTTCACACAAAAGAGGCAGCTGCGAGGCGGACTAGGCTCTGCTTGGATTCAACCCTGGGGTCGCCCTCCCGATGGGCCGGGAAGGGGTCAGAGCCTGACCAAGGGAGCAGCCCCCGGGAAGGAGGACACACACCTTCTACTCTTAACTTCAGGACGGGCCTGAAGACGCTGGCCCCTCATTCCCTTCCCTGCCTACTCCTCCAGGCACTCGGGCCAGAGGACACCTGGCGGGCCCGCCTGTCCTGACTGGACATGAAGCAGGCCACCCCCGGTTCTGGGACCACGCTGTGCCCTGGTGGGGGGAGTCCCTGGCAACTGCGCTGTGGGCCCTCGGCTCCTATGGCAGCTTCCAGGTGATGTACTCACCTAGGGGCAGGAGAGGAGGGCTAGACCGCTACAATCACTGAGTTCTGGGGCCCCGCCTCTGGACGGCCATGGCCCCGCTCCCCCGCCCTCAGCCTCACTAAGTCCTCCTCAGCTGAAAAATGCCTGGTCAGCATCAGATCCCAAGGCCTCTACCAGAGCCTAGAGCTAAGGGTTAGACATGAGCCCTGGCCAGCAACCCTCCTTACCTGGCCTGGAGGGCCCCCACCCCAGCTCCACGCCTCGCACCTGCCTAGGCCTAAAGGTTTGGGGAGGGGCCCTGTCTGGCCACGCCCTGGCTCCACCCTTCCCTCAGGCAGAGAAGGCCCCCCTCCAGGAAAGCAGGAAGGGATGGAGATATAGGGACCCCCAAGTCCCCACCCTGAATCCTGCAGAGCACAGGCCAACTTGCTCACGTTGGTCCCAGTGGAAGCCTGAGGCAACTGTGGCTGCTCTGCCCGAGGGGTAGGGGCCAGGGCTGGGCAGAGCAGTGGCCCAGCCCCGTGACAGTGCTGGGGGAGGGCCCATGCTCTCTGATCGCCCCAGCCTCCACTACCATGGCATCTCCGGGCCTGAGGGCAGCTGGTGCCCATCTGCCAGCCAGTGGAAAGTCTCCTCCTGAGGCCTCCCGCGGAGTCTGGAGTGGCGTGCCCTGTGCTGCTGGCCCACGGAACCGCCTGCGAGGCTGAGGGCTCTGCGGCCCGCCCTGGGCTCGTCCTCTGTCTCGGGCATCTTGCCTACCTTCAGTGGGGGCAGCTGTGCCCCAGACATCCCTGGACAGCAGGACGGGGGAGCAGAAACCCCACTTCCCACCTGAGGATTCTGGGCCCATGAAGCAAAAGAACCGTCCCCAGAGACCATGAGGGACCCCCCCCACCCTTCACTCCACAGCACCACCACACCCACCTCTGCAGCTACGGACGCCCTGCCCCATCTCGCGGAGGCCCAGTCCCAGGGCTCAGCCATCTAGGGGCAAAGGGGACCCCTCGGCCACCAGGCACAGCCTGTGAGGGAGGACTCCGCCCAGTCCTCTGCTCCCGGGCCACATGGGGTTGCCACCATTTCTGCTCAGTACGGGCAAGCGGCGGTGGTCACACAGGCAGTATCTTTTTCATAGTTTTCGCTTAGTCTAGACCCTTTTTCACTCAGAATGTTTTTTAAAAGACTTTATATCACAATCATAAATAGAAGGTGCCAGAAAAATAAGTATCAGACTGTCTTGGCTTCTGCTCGGAGGCACCAGACTGACTGTAAAAAGGGCGTCCCTGGAAGCCTCTGTGGCCTGCGTCCCCTCTGCACCCCCTGCCGGTCCCTTTGCTCCAGCCCTATCATCACCCGGGCCTGTCCCAGAGCCCGCGGGCCACTGCCACCCACAGGACCCCCTTAGTCCCCACTCATACCCAGGAAGGGGCTGTGCACGTGAAGCCACCCAGGCCAGGCCCCGGGCCGCTGCCCTGTCCGAGCTCCTGCCCAGCGTGGGGGCCCAGCAGGGGCAGGCTGGACCAGCCTGACAACGGCGACTTCTGGGGAACCCAGCCAGGGACGGGCTTCCAGACAAGGTGCCTGGGGCCTCTTGGCAGTTGGCTGGGCCCCTGAGCACGGAGGGCCACGGGGACCTGGTGACTGCTACTCAGGTCCTGTGAGAAGGAGGGGCGCCCGGGGCGGCAGCTGCCCCGCAGCACGGCCCCGCCCCTCAGGGCGCCCGGGGCCCCCGTCCTCGCCTCTGCATCTTCCTCCCCTGCAGTGCTTCCCTTCCTTTCTCCTCGCAGACAGCTCGGCCCCAGAGGACCAGGGGAGGACGGGGCTCCTGGCGGGCGAGGGGCCTGGGACCCGGCCTCGGGGGCGCTGCTCCATTCTCACGAGGTCGGGGCCCTGAGGACGGGGCAGGGCCTTCACCGTGGTGGACAGCAAGGCCGAGTCCTCGGTGGGACAGCCTTTCCCAGTGCTGCCCTGCAGGTGCCTCAGCCACCGCAGGACCCGGTGACGCTGTGGCCAGCGGGCTTCCACGGCAGCCATTGCCGGTGCAAGACGTGAGCCTGAGGGGCGAGGGGCCACAGGCCCCAGTGTGGATGCCGCCGTGCCCAGGGCCTCACCTGTGCGCCGGGGGCCCGTGTACACTCACCTGTCTCCTCGCATCGTCGGCAGGGAGGAGGCCCGTGCCCAGAGGGTGACAGTCCCAGCTAGGCGGGGGCGTGGGCACTCCAGCCCCAGCTGCTTCCCCACCCCAAGGCACCTGTGGCAGAGTTGTGCAGGGCGTCCGGAAGCCGGTCTCCAGGGCGGGGTGGGAGCAGGCTGGCCCCCCGTCCCTGCCATCGGGGCCTCTGGTTTCTCCTCTGCAGAGCAAGGCTGGACAGGTCCTGGTGCCAGGGGCCCGTGGCCTGCCCAGCCCTGAGCCCCGGAGGCTGTCAGCCCAGGGCGGTGGCAGCACAGAGCTCTGCGTTCCTTTGAGAACAGAGCCCGTGCCCAGGGGTCCCAGGGGGCACAAGAATGGGAGGCTGGCCTGGGACCCCACGGTCCTCCACTGCCTGGTGCAGCCCAGCCAGGACCCGGCAGCACAAGGGGATAGCAATTGGGTCCAAAGGGCCACTCACCCACCAGCTGGGCGAGCGGGCTGATGCCACCTAGAGCAGAGGGGGAAACTGAGGCTCAGGCCCCACGACCTGGGACGTGGAGACGAGTCTGACCAGGGGGCTTGTTGTCCCAAGACCCTGGGGAGGGGACCAGGAGGTGGAAGGACCTGCAGGGCTCTGGAGGGTCCCTCCTGTGACTCCCAAGCTTCCCAGTGTCCTCCCAGGCGTGGGTAGGACAGGCCTCGGCAAGAGGCGGCTTTTGCCGAAAATGCTTTAAATTGAGCAAAAGAGTGTGGTGAGCAGAGAGCAGAGTCCGCCCATGCCGTGTCCACAGATCGGCGAGAAGGCACGTGTGCAAAGTGACCACCGGTTCTGTCTGTCTCTGCTGCTCTTCACAGAGACCCCTAGGGAGCCTGCAGTGCCCAAGGACGTAGGAAGGCAGGACGAGGGCTGGGCCTCGCTGGTCAGCAGGGGTCGACGGGTCTATGCAGGGCCAGCTGGTCCTCCTGGGGTCAGGGCGTCAGCCGGCGGCCCTGCTGGCCCCTCCACCGCATCTCAGGCCACTTTGCTGACTTCGGTCTACTCAGAGTCCCCGGGAATGTTCCCTTTAATGTTTCAAACCGTTGCCATTAAAACGTGCAGTGTCCTCACTCCCGCTGCGTTTGTCATTGTGTCCTCTTTTTTGCCCCTAATGAGGAAGCTCCCTCTTCCCCCTCCGCGCAATCAGGTCACACAGAACCCCCGCCTTACGCAGCATCCGCAGTTCCGTGGGCCCCTGCGGCTGGCGGACTCGGGAGTCTGTCCCCTTCCGCGCTGGCGCAGTCTGCTTTCCCTTGAACGTGGTCGTTAGCGTTTCGCCGGAGATACTTGCAGGTCAGCCCCCGGGGAAAGGGAGCCATCCGCCCTATTCACTCGCGTCCCCAGCCCCTCTGCCGAGTGGCGGGGCGCATGTGCGCGCTGAGTGTGAACCAGCAAAGTCCCCTCCCGGGTCACTCAGTTAAAGTGTGGGGCCGCGGAGCAGGGCGAACCGGGAAAGGACACACGATTCCTCCACGAC